GATTTTGTAAAAGCAAAAAACTTTCGATGAGGATTATAAAAAGAGTTGAAACTCACTTCTTTCTCCGGTGCAAGTCGTGTCATAAAGAACAGAGTTTTCTGAATACCTTCTTTTGTTATAGAAAAAGATGAACACGACTTGTAACATCAGTCCAGAAATTATAATACTTATATAACCCAAATTAAAAGAACTGATAGAGTGAACAACTGGACTAATTACATCCGATTGAAAACTCATGATTATACTATGAATGAAAAATTAAGAGGACTCGGGAAAGTTGTACGAATAGAAGATTTTCTTTTTAGAAGTTGTCAAAAATATAACCAAATAAAACTTAATTTTAATAATTTTATAGAAAGTAATTAAATTAACAATCATATCAAGACTTTGCCAACAGAGTTTACAAACCATGGGTTTTTGAAGTGACAGAGCAGGGCACCAGTAAAATTAAGATTTTTCTTGTGGAGAAACGAAATAAAGATACTTTGTTGCCACTGTTGCTTGAACATGTAGATACTCAAAATGTCATTGTCTAAGATGGGTGAAAAGAATATCATGGTCTAATCTCTTATTTTGATGACCAATACGGTAAACCATAGTGAGAATTTTATAGATTTAACAACTGGATATCACAACCAGTTGATTGAGTATAAAAACGCTATGTGAAGTTTAAAATAACAAAGAATAAAATAGAGATATCGATTTCTCTCTTACAAAGTCATTAAAACCTTTTTTGCCTTTATTATTAACAAAAAGGTTTAGAGTTTGAAGTATTTATGAAGTTTTTAGGGAAGAATCATCAATAGATTTTTTGACTTATCTTTTTATTTTATCAACAACCCCTACTCAAAGGAAAGGGGTTGTTGATAAAATAAACCGTTATAAATATTTTGTTGTATAATTTATGGATCGCAAATTAAATTGACGAATCAAAATTAGAAAATGTGGCGCCAATCAAAAAAGTGCCTATATTTGATATCGCTAATATTACTCTTAAAATTTTTATTAACTTTAAATATAGCTCGAAGTTCTTTTTTAACCGTGGTGTGGTTTCTTTCAACTGGTAATAATTTATAGCCATATCTTGTAATTAGTCTATTGTTATATAACAATAATAGAGATAGTCAGCTGGAAGTATCAGAATATTTGTTAAACTTTTTTGTATAATTTAGGCGTAATAATAA